GATGAAAAGCATTCAAAAAACTAGATGTTTGGTAGTTGAAACTGTCGACTTATTCGAATAACTCAAGAACTATTTGAATAGTTTGGATCAATCGCGGGGCATGAAAAACCAGGTTGAAATCAGGTAGAAAAAACCAGTCACAGGAATGATCACGACCTATTCGAATAAACTAAAGATTATTCGAATAGAAAAGCAACTTCCCCACACAAAGGCTGATCTAAAATGTGTTTTAAAGATAGGATGATAAGGGAATGAACCTTATAGATGCCATACTCTTTAACACATAATCTAAAACCTAAAACACTACCCAACTAAGGAAACAACCTCTTCGGTCTCGTTCCTTCCATCGATGCTCAAGTCCCTTCTTCACGGACGGATATGAACTTGTTGTAGCTTTGATTCTTAGCCTTGATACACAAACTGATGATGATGTTTTGTCACCCTTTTGTCATTATCAAAACCTAAAAGACAATGGGCAAAGGACGTTGCAAATCTATATATTCATGATAGCACATTGTCCAACAAAACATAATAACTTTCTCAATATAGAACTATATGTTTTTATTTCTCAATGTATGATCATTGGTAATTATCCATTAGTCATTATTCAACTAAATGTCCACCAACACTAGATATTATTCCTTCCACTAGACATTATTAAGTATTATTTAGGAATAAAAAAGTTTAAGTCCTACACTGCGAAATGACTTAAGTTTTAGTTTTATTTAGTGGAAATTTCACATAGATTAAACTAAGTAATAAATTACGAATAAAATTGTCTTAGGCCGTGTTTGGGAATAGCGTTAGAGATTAGCGTTAGCGTTTTGGATAAAATTTAAACGGTGCAGATTACTATGAAAACGTTGCCCGTAGATAGCCTTTTCAAAACGGTAACTCTAATTGCTAACGTTATTCCCAAACAGGCCATTAGAGTATTTGTTTTGTTTTTACTTTTTACAATTAACCGGAATCGATAGTTGACTTATAATTAAATAAACTTTACATGGCATATTAATTAAATAAAATAATATTTTGAAAATATATAATAAGCTAAATTTAAAAAATTATTCTTGTACCATTACCTAATATACATTTTTATTATACACGATAGATAAAACGACGTTTTACGGAATATTTTCTAAACTATTACTCATGTCATTTACAATTTGACTTTTATTTATTAAATTTTATAAACCTCGACCACAGATTATGAAAAAAATATATTTAGTTGTAATGTACATTTAATAAAATTAAGTTCAGTTTTAGATACAATTTTGAAATATCAATTTTTTATAATATTTATTTATAATAATTTTATTTAGTTTGTGATCAAAGTATATAACAATTTGATATAAAAAAAAGTCAAACTTAAATAGTAGCTTTAGAATGATGGTTAAATAGAACATTGTACTATCTTGGTTGCAAATTTAATCATTTGTATCAGTTATGATGTTTGACTGAATTTATTTTTTATTTAATTTTTTGAAAATTTGGGTGAATTTAAAAACTAAAAATTACATATTTAAAAACTACATCTAAAGATTACGAAACAAGAGGTGACATTAACATATTATTCTATCAAATGAATAGCAAAAATAAGTAAAAAATTTAATGTAGTTTAACTGTGTGAATGCTAAACAAACAACTTAAATTAGACGGAAGTAGATAGTACTCCAATCCGCCGGGTACTCCCTTTGTCTCTCTATTTATTTTTATTCTTTTCATTAAAACTAAAACTTTTATGTTAAAACAAATTCACCATTTATTTCAAATTTTATTTAATTACGGGTCAATAGTTGAAAATGATTGACTACAAAAAGTCAAAACTGACCAAATACTCGAAGATAGATGTAGTTTTTCATATATAATTTTCAAAATATAATTAGCATGAACCATATATGTTTACTTCTTAATTACGAAGAAGAAACCACCTTTCTCCTTTTGGTGAATATCACATCAACAACCAAGTGATACAAGCGCCTTGATTCATTAGTTAAGATCTCTGATATGTTATCTAAAATGTAATCTCTTTTTTTTTCTTATCAATTTCTTAATTAGAATTAATATTTTGTAGATTCAATTGAAAAATTATCTTAAACCTGCAGATGGGCACACATTGCAAGTCATTTGCCGGGGAGAACAGACAACGAGATAAAAAACTACTGGAATTCGTGGATAAAGAAGAAGCTAAAAAAGGCTCCAACGGCTTCATTATCGCCAACGCCTCAAGCAAACGAAACCCCTCATGTAATGGAGCGACCTCTTCCAGAGCCACAACTTCCTTTCAATAATGCAAACCAAGTAAACTATTTCTTGAGCGATCAAAAAGACTATTTTGTCACAAAGCCACATCCCGTATACCCATTTCCCACTAGCAACGATAGTAGTAGGGAGGATAACCCTCATTTTTCTTCATTTGACGTATATAATAATACCTCATCAACCGAAGTGGTTTACACGAGGGACTATATGACTAACAATAATCAAGTCGAAGATCACTCGTTTCAAGATTCAATGCCAGCATTATGGGAGCAAGAAGAGCTTCCCCCTTTCAATATTGATTCTAATAATCTACCGTTGTTGGTAGTGGATGGTATGGTGGTGGCACGTGAGAAATTCCTAAGTGATTGGGGAGTCGATGCACAAGCACAACAATGCCATGATAGCTTCCTGATATGGGATCAGAGAAGCGGGAGTAATGATGAAGAAGAACTCATCGCACCAACAGTTTCATCTTCAAACATTGGAGCCATGATGTTATCGTCATATTTCCCATCATCATTGTGATTATCGTTTGATTGATTAGAGAAATATACCTTTAAACTACTTAATATTTTTATTTTTGTCTTGATCCAAAATCAAGTGGACTAAAGTGATTGGGATTGCGAGAGTGCTAAGAGAAGTGTTTTAAAATATGCACGAAAGAAATAGTAGGACATATTGTCTATATATACATGCAAAGAGATGATGAATGTTATGTACAAGTAATACGTATTCAATTTGCAATATATAGGTACGCGGATGTAAGAACTATGGTGAATCATATAGATTTGAAATATTATAACTACAATGTACCTCTCTTACTCACCATCATTTAACACACACCCCTACAAATTAGAGGAATTATAATCATAAAAAAATGTGTGGTAACTATAATAATAATAAAATGTGTGAAAATTTAGGAAAAACTGGAGTAAAGAGGACTGGACTAGGCATACTGGGCGAAAATTGGCAAATCAATACTTGGCAAACTTTGAGGCAACTATCAGTATTCTAGAGAAAAAACTTGCAAATTCACTACTCACAAGTCACAACCAAGCAAAAATTAGGCAAAAATGGGGAAACTCTTAAGCAAAAAGCCACCCAAATTCGTAAATAAGAATTGAATTTATAAAAGAACATAATTTGGTTGGTACCTAAGGAGCTTGACTCTAAAGGGCTAGGCGGAGACTAAGAGGAGCGATTGGGTGAGGCCGAACCGCAGCTCCATTCATGTGCTACAACCGCTACTTCAAAGGATGAAGTGTTGGACACTCGTCATCACTGGACACACACACAAAAAATCCTCGACGTCCGGTGACTTAATAAGCAAATTTCTCTCCCCACTAAAAAAAGTTCTTAATATATAAATACTTTAAATTTTGGTACATATTTTCTCCGTGCATCGCACGAGTACAAATTCTAGTTTAAAATAGAGTCCGAGTAGAACCCCTAAATAATTACAATGTGGGGTTTAAAAACAAAAGATTGGATAATTGAAAGATTGATGAAATACAGAGCATAAAGTAAGGATAGGGAATGACAAGCAAACGACACCCACAAACAAATAAAATAGAGTCCGAGTAGAACCCTTAAATAATTAAAATGTGGGGTTTAAAAACAAAAGATTGGATAATTGGAAGATTGATGAAATGCAGAGCATAAAGTAAGGATAGGGAACGACAAGCAAACGACACCCACAATGACGACGAGCAAAACCCTAAAAATGGCAGAGACGATGGAGAAGGCCCAGATCGACCCCGCCAAGTTGCATGATACTTCATGTTTATTATTGGTGTTTCTTGTTCACCGCAATTCTTATCACTCAATACTTAAATATGGCAGCAAAGAGGACACCATTCAATAGGAATTCATACTTGAGAATTATAAGATCTTGTGTAGTTAGCGTTAACAGGAAGATTCCAGGACCTTCTCAGAGCTATGCATCTAATTTTAAAGGTAAGCTGAAGAATGACGCGAGTAAGAGCAGGATTGGCAATTCATTATTGTACTATTATGTTACAGCTAGTTTTGTGATGGATTTCGTGGGTGGAGCGAGCTTGTGGTTCTCAAGGTCAAGAGAAATATGTAAGTTTTAAATTCTCTATGTTTGTACTCATATTTTAATTTTCAAAAATTATAATAATACTAGTGACATTAATTTATCACCGTATTTTGTAGTGTCTAAAATCCAAACAAGTCAAAAGCATTGATCAAGTGGTTGAAGGTAGTAGAATATTTGTTGTTGTCATTATTATTATTTATCATTTTCATCATCAACCCGTCAATCTCTAATTAAAATTCAGTAGAACAAAACATGTCCTTACTATGTTTCCTCATTAAGTTTATATGTCCTTACCATATTTCCTCATTAGGTTCATCACCTTTGAAATTTAATACCCTGATTTGAAAATAAATGGATTGGGGAAATAAACAGGTTCAGAAAGATTGATAGTAGTACTCATACCAACAAGGTGCGTCTTCTTTTCGAGAGTTCATTACCTAGAAACTTCAAAATTATGCGTGTTTGACCTGGAGCAATTTTAGGATGGTGACCCCTTTGGAAGCTAATAATACTAATGAGGAAAATCATTATTATATTATAATTCAATATACTTTTCTCACAATTTGTAGTCAAAGTGTGTAATTTTTTGTTGAAGGTAGTAGAAATGTAGAATAGTTGTTGTTGTTGTTATTGTTATCATTATAGGTTCATCACCTAGTAATAATAGACCTATTATAGTAACATGTCATTATTATTATTGAGGTTCATCACCTAGTCAACATGTCCTAACTATGTTTCCTCATTAAGTAGAACAAAACATGTACGAGTAATACATATTTAATTTGCAATATATAGGTACACGAATGTAAGAACTATCGTGAATCATATCATATATGAGAAAATATGCCTTCATATTATATAATCAATTAAATTTAGCAATGATGATGGTTGTGACTTTGTTCTATTTTTACGGATTAATATTCTTCAAATTCAAGAGATATTAAAGAGCGAAACTCAAGCTCATCTATAGATTCACCAATTACCTGCGAAATGAACACGATTTTGTGGCTAAACACTCATCTAAGGTTCGTTCACCATTTGAGCTCTAAACTTTTAAAAGTAATAACCCTCGTCCTAAAATTGTATTCCAAAATGCCATTTTTGGCCAATGGGAAATGATATTTCCATTCCCTTTTGATATTTGAAATATCATAAGTACAATGTACCTCTCTTACTCACCATCATTTAACACACACTCCTACAAATTACAGGACTTATAATCATAAAAAAAAAATTGTAGTAACTATAATAAGGAACAATAAAATGTGTGAAAACTTAGTGGAAAATGAGAGTGAAGAAGAGGACTCAATTAGGCGCTTACTGGGAGAAAATAGGCAAATCAATACTTGGCAAACTATGAGGCAATTATCAG